TTCGCTAACCATTTCTTCCTATGATTTAAAAATAGCCATAACTACAAAGTGAAAAGATGAGCACTGTTATATTTATGAAGACATGTCTTCAGTCAAAACTAAGAACTGTAAGAACAATCCATATATGGCTATAGTCTATAAAACATCTTTTTGGTAGTGAGAATGTAACAATAGAGCAGCTAAAATTATGTTAAAATATGGATGTGTTTATAGTGGTGAATATGTTATCCGGCCTTTTTATGATGATTAATTTTTTTGTTGGCTTCCATGATTTACTCATCATTCTCCCCCCCCTAAATGCTTATAAATAGATTAAGCAGTACAGGAATACAGTGCAGCTCAAATAATCTGCAGCAAAGTGTGGTAATTTCCAAAATATTTGTAATTAGAGTGCATTTGCACTTCTTGTAATTATTCTGTCCATGCAACGTGGGTGCAAAATACTGCCTAATCTAGTAGCATTTTTCATCCACTTTGCACAAGTGTCCATGATTACACTAGTTGCAAGGCAGGAGAGACTCAGGCCATAGGGCTCACATCCACAAAGATATTTAAGCTTCTAGCTTCCATTAAATGTCCTTGGGGATCTGGGCCTACATTTCCAAACTATCATAAAAATATTAGAAAACAATTTCATTGTTGTATTTATTAAACACATAACAAAGGAACTTGTTAACACATCAACTGTCTGAAGCTTTGGGAATGATCCTGAAAAGTGTTGAGCACCTGGAACAAGCATTTAGGAGCACTCAGCACCTCCCAAGAGCCTGCCCATTATTTGTACTGGACAGAGGAAAAGTAAGTATTTATGTACAATACTGTCTGCTAGTTAAAAATCAATAGCCTTTAAGCTTATTTCTTATTTTTATGGCTTTGGAGAGTTAGGGTTAAATTCACTGCTGGGGGCTCAACTCCATTGACATCAGTGGAGTTGGGTCCACTTATACCAGGGGTGAGTTTGGACCATGGTTTCTAAACGGAGGCACTCCTGCATAATCTGTTGATACTGCTTAACAAGGAAGTAACATGAGCAACACTAGGCACTACAGAATAGCTGTATTATAGGAGAACAATGTGTTACTTATTCCAATGGACAAACAAAAGTGGTTGAATTTGATATTTCTATCACCAGTTTGTTCTTGACAGCATTCAAATCATACCTGAATTAATTAAAAAATTAGCATGTAAGTGTTCATATTATGTCTTCCAAATTAATGATTTATAAGTGACTATTGATACTATAGTACTTAGAAAGACCACTGTCTCACTTCATGTAGCAACAACAGACTTCACATCCCCTCTCTCTCTCTCTCTCTCTCTCTCACACACACACACACACACACACACACACACACTGCATATATACATATATATAATATGTGGAAAAAAGAAAGGGATATATCCAAGATCCATTTTGTTACATTTGACAGAGATGGATGGTACCTCTTCACTACATTGCTTAAAAGTAAAAGGGACACATGATCTTCTGATTGAATTTTAGTTCTTTGAAAAATGATTTTAAACTGTTCAAAGTGTCCTGACTTCAGGAAGTAATTCAAGGAGATGCAGAGTTCCAGAACTGGGATTTCTGACATGCCAGAGCAGTGTCGGTATTTCAGGCAGTAAGGAATATATTAGCATTATCAATGGTTAAATGATGGGGAACACAGGCATATACTTATCTTAAATCTTTAATATTATTTTAAAAGCACATAAGATTAAGAAGCACAGAACTAATATACCACCACATTGTTGGAAATTATAGAGATGGAGGGCTAGAGGCCAATACACAATACTGATTACTTCCCCTCCACCCCACCTTTTTACTATCAGAGGATAACTGATGTGTCCTGAATTCTGTAATAGTAAAAGATGTTGATGTATGAGTGAAACAGATTTCTTTAGATCTTTGGGTCAGTGCTCGCTACAGAATCGATCCTTGAAATTATGCTTTGTTTTATTCTCTGTCAAACCTTGCTCACTTTCTGATGCACTTTTTTTGTGTTAAACAAACAAGAGATAGATAAACACTCAGGGTAAAATGTTCAAAAGTGCCTACGTCAATTAGGTGCCTAAATCCTATTGAAAGTCAATGGGACTAGACTCCTGAGTCATTAAGGCACTTTTGAAAATTTTACCCTCAGCGATTGGGGGTTTATTAACACCTTTGATTATTTAGGAGAGACAATGGTATGGTTATGGCTTTTGTCTGTACTGTTGGAAGCACCAGGGCTCAAGTGCTACTCAGAAGGGGTACACAATTGAGTGTTTTCCTCACTCAAATAAGAACACACCAGTGGTCCAGATACTGTGATATTTTGTCTATGACGGAGGAGGTTTTAGAGGAGGAAAGTGTAAACTCTTCCCCCTAAATTCACTCTGTGCAGTTCAATACTATGTACTTTTTTATTCTGACTTTTTTAGCATTCAGAATGGTCATCATCTTGTACCTTGAAGCATGAGGCTCTGTCTACAGCCCTTATAAATTTTTATCCTAGCCTGTGTGCTATCTTCTTTCCAATAACTAATCCGCTTCTTTGAATTTGGCTGCCAGTAAAGCCATTCACAAACAAACAACGCACACCAAACCCATAAGCACTTAACCTTGTGTATGTCTAGATTTCCATGTTTTTGCACGTGGAGTTCATAAAGCAGAGAAATACAGACTCCGTCTCTCAATTTCTGTCTACCATATGTTTAATGCAGATTATAATCCTTTTCTCACTGAAAAATAGATTGTTACAAAAACATTTAAAAATAATTTCAAACAGAGAGTTACTAACTGGGTTTATATTACCCCATTAAGTGTTATATACAACACTGATAGAGTGTAGGAAAATAAGTGAACAATATTTTTGTAACAGCTGCTGATATATGTTTCTGTTAATGATGATCTTGATCTTATCAATTGTCAGTGGCCTCTCCTAAGAAGTGGACAGTCAACTGGGCACTGCACACTCTAAATCTGAAGTCATTGTTGAGCAATAAGAGACACTCCCTGTGTAGCACCATGAATGTTTTACCTTGGTAGTATTTCTACGGCTAAATGCTCTGTTGTAAACAGGTGCAATTTCTTGACTGCAGTGGACTGGGATGGGATGATTTTAAGGGATATATTATTGAAAACTTGAGCATTTATTTGCTTTTCTGCCCCACCACCTTTTAAGAACAACGGCAATAGACAATTTAAAATATGTAACCAATTCAATAGTGTATTAGAGTCTTGACATTACTGGTGCATGCAAACTGTGGTGTTTGTAACTTGTTACAGACCAAAACCCGGGGATGTGTAAAAGCTGTACATTAGTATGCCACATGACAGAAATACATAGTGCTATTGTTATATGTGCTACATGTTATAGACAAAGATGGAGTTCCTTTCTATGTTACTTAGTATTTGGTGAACAGTATATCACATTTCCCTATGCTGTGTGATCATGTAATGGAAGACTTTACTTTATCTGCAGTTTACTGTTATTCCCATAGTTTGTTTGTTCATACCAGAATGCACTCATACGTGAGTTCTACATTATTATTTCAGATTATTATACCAAAACAGTAGATTTAAAATGTTCTAAACCATTGTGCAGGTGACAGACTGAAAAGTCAAGGAATAGGATGCTGAGCAGCAGTCTCTTGAATAAAAGATACCATCTATTCAGAGCATGTACACACTTGCAGATATCTTCACCCATTTTGGTCACCCAGTTACACATGCGTGGTCTAAGATATTCAAAATTGCAGACATTTGACACGTGCTAGCTTCCTTTATGTTTCTACAGATAGAACTGAGTGTTCTATGCACATGCCATATACTGTTTTAAAATGCCCATAATTTTGTTTTTTTCAAAACCAAATTATTTCTATATAGCAAAGGCACTAGTTTCCATTTCAGATTAAATTCTATAAAGACTAGAGATTTAAAACTTTTTTTTTGAGTTATCCAAGCACAAAACAAACATTTTTGAAATTTTTTTCAACAGCTGGAAAAACACTTAGGCCTGATTCATGCAGGCAAACCGATGATTTCAATAAGGCTCTGCAAAGGTGCAGGATCTGCCTGCATAGATCCAATTGCTGCCACATTCTGACAACTCGAAAAAAAGCTGAATACATTTATATAATTTTCTTGGTGGAAATGAAACAAGCATCTTCAACCCCTAAAAGTACATTTTAAAGTAAATTTACAAATTACTGTCCTGTAATTAAGATGATTAAATTATGTGTTTGTAAAACAAACTATTTTTCATCCTGAATACACTAGGGACACAAGAGTATGAGGCCACAAAAAGTATCCTTTGGTGTATCAGAGATGCCCGTGGCTTCTCCTTACTCTCTTCTGCAATCTCCACCAACATTCACTAGGATACTAACATGGAAAAAATGCCAGCACAGGTTATGACATTCAGGATAGGAAAAACTTGTTCTCAACATTTATAACTTATAATCTTTGTTCATATTTAAATACTGCCTCTGCTTTCAGAAACTGGCCTCCAAAATAATCTAAAGCCTGAAACGTGTTTTAAAAATAACCCAAAGCATGTGAAATGGATTGTAGCCTTTCACATCTTACTGTGTTAAAAATACTAATTTTATAACTGCTGGTTAAAGAGTAGTTACCAACTTTATTTTATTTAAGAAAAAAAGAACCCTAATTAAAAATGTAAAGATTTGGCTCCCATATTATACACACAGTATTAATTTAAACCAGTGGTTCTCAAACTTTTGCACTGGTGACCCCTTTCACATAGCAAGCCCCTGAGTGCGACCCCCCCTTATAAATTAAAAACACTTTTATATATATTTCACATCATTATAAATGCTGGAGGCAAAGCAGGGTTTGGGGTGGAGGCTCACAGCTCTCGACCCCCCATGTAATAACCTCGCAACCCCCGAGGGGTCCCACCCCCCAGTTTGAGAACCCCTGATTTAAACCTTAGAATGGAAAGTCTACAGTAAGGAATATGCCTACAAAAGAGAGCTTTAGCTAGTAAGCAAGGAAAGATGGACGGGAAGGTCAAAATCTAGTACAGGATTTACCTCTAAGAACTGTCAGCTAATTAATAATTCTAAGTAAAATGTGGGAATCATCGTGGCCAATGGCACTGCAAACTCTGGGCCTTCTGAAGCTACTGATCAGCTGTAACTCCACTAACATCAGTAGGAGTCTGAGGCGCTCATCAACTCTCAGAAGCCTTCTATTTATTTTTAAAAAATAATGTTTTATCCATGACAGTAACAGGTGAATCCGAGACTGGATTTCTGGACATTCCCCTCCCCACCTCACTGAGGCCCCAATTCAGCAAAGCCTTTAAGTGCGCTCAAATGCCATGAAAATCAGTGGGCAGGATTCTTTCATCCATTAAGTGCACCATGTAAGTGGTGCAGAGTGAATTTAAACCAGCCAGAGAGTCTTCCTGCGTACAAGGAATCTCTACTGATGTAAAGCTGGTAGAGGTGGTATAGACACCTCCTAAACCAGCTCTCTCTCTGGCATAAGGAAAAGAAGGGATAGGCTGGTGGACCGAGAGGGGGAATGGTGGAGCTGAACTCCACTACACCTGTTTCTCTGCAGGTGTAAGATCCATTTACAGAACTTACATCAATCAGTGGCAGAAGCTAGAGCAGCAGGGGGCCTACTCTGTCTTCTGCCCTGGCTAAGTGGCCAGAGATCAGGGAATTACAGCCAGCTTCCTGCATCTGTCATTGTCCTCTGCGGCTGAGGTGTGCTTTGATGGAGAGGAGAATCAGGGCCAATGAGACTTAAGCATGTGCTTAAATGCTTTGCTAAACCAGGGCCCTATATTTTAGCCATTCTCTCCACAGCCAGCATTTTGCATTTCTCATTTTAAAAAATACAGTATACGAGTTATACTCGTAATGAAAAACATTTTTCACAGAAGAAAATTAAAAGGCATGTACAACGGCTAATATTTTTAACAATGTGTTCTTTAGTTGTGCATGCAAAATAGATAACTGTATACTCAATTTCCAGTTTCTCATTGCAGTTTACATGCACATTTACATAGTCTGCACGTGCAATTTAGGAACTGATTTTGAAAATTTAGACCTATATGTATTTTGGGGGCCTTTTTGTTTCTTTGTATTATTAAAAAATAATTGTAGATTTGAATTCTCAACATCAATAGAAAAACTAGAGGTAAATCCCCATGTTTAAAATCAGATTCTTATCTGGACACTAACATTTAAAAAGTTCAGTAGTGTCAGATGATATGATTTCTTTTAAAAAAAAAACAGAAAGTATCAACTTGATTTTAAAAAAAGTGCCAAACACAAAACTAGAGTTGCACAGAATTTTTGTGTTTTTAGATTTAGTCATTTACTTTACAGGGTTTCCATATATTCTGAAGGTGACTACAATTGTACGTGCAAATGAATACTTTGTTTACAATTATCCTTTTGCAAGCACAACTAAGGTGCCCATTTTTACAATTTACCCCTAAAGACCAAATCCTGCAGTTTCTTCTTGGGCGAAACTTCCACTGAAGTCAATAGTTCCTTGACATAGGACCCTATTTTCCAGAACTAACTACCATGTATAGTATTTACCATTGTAAATAGTCCCCACAGACATCAGTACTCATGGTAGTAAGCACTCTGCCCACTAGTCACAGCTACTCCATGGTAGTAAATGTTTGCAGGTTTGAGCTCTCAGTAAGGGTTCAATAAGGACTGTAAGATTTGGCCCCAATTGGTTAACATTCTCTATAAGCTAGAGTTGGTTGGACAATTTGAAAAAAAAAAATCATGAAATATTTTCCATTTTTTTAGCAGCTCTGTTATTAACTATATAGGTAACTCCCACTGCATTCATAAAGGTAATATATACACTTCCTTGAAACAAATACCTAAAATCACCTTCTTCTGTACACTTTGTAAATCACTGTAAACATCCAAAATATACATATATATGGCCATGATATAGTTAGAAAAGAGAAATGGAGTAACAACACTTTTTATTGCATTCTCAAGTACTGTTGAATATGGGTATGGTAGGCACACATTTTAACTACTTATCATCTACTACAATCCTAAAGCTCATTTACCTGAGATCTGTGTTTTGTAAAAATAAAGTTTTCTTTTTAGTTGCATATGTTACAAAAGACTCAGTTTCAGCCTGAACAGATGTGAAACTTTGAATCTGGCAACAAGCGCTACAGGTGATCATATAAAAAAGGTACTGCTGAAATAGATGCATATTAAAAAGAAGCCACAAATCTTAGAGGTTTTAAAAATCTCCCTTCCCCCACCCCACAATGTTGGGAAGCCACATTGTAATAAAATTGTTTAAAACATTTGACACAGAAGACTTGCACAGAAAGCATGTTGTTAAAATCATGTACCCTCTAAGACACCCATCTTGGAAGAAGTTAAGTAGCTTAGAAGGACAAACTCCATGTTACTTGTAAATGTATTTAATGTCACTCAGTTCTCATCATCCCGTCTGTAGTGAATAGTTTGTATTTCCTGAGCTAAGAACATGGCCATCTCTTTAGTGCCGGCAGCAATCACTCGGCATGACATGAGATCTAGAGGTCCCCCTAAGAACAAGAGGATAAAGAAGAACCATGTTTAGATACAGAAGTGATGTATGGCATATTATATTATATCCTTGTTGTAGATAGAGAGATTCAAAAATACTGAAACAACGTCACAGCCACATTTAGAGGGGGAAATACCTTGTTGAGGCATTCAAATTCAGAGATGTCTTGCAAAGCAAAGTGTTCTAGAAACCATAGACTTACCAAACACCAAAGTACACAGCAAAAGCAATGAATGTTTTTATTTGTTCAGTACACAAAAATAAACACAACATATTCCATTTTACTCTCTTAAACAAAACACCAGATGTTTTGTTTGCAAAACTAGGGGTAGTAAGGAATAAAATAGGAACCAGCATAACCCGTTTTCAGGGTTAAACATACCCTACAACTGGCAACTATTCTTTAACACATCAAGTCTTTCCACAGTCATGCACACTTTGATCACCACTGGGCTTGACTACTAAAGAGCACTCTACTTGGGGGATGTATGCTCTAGAAATTAATAAAATAATAATCCTTAACATTTTGGGTCTTTAATCTTCAAGGTGCTGTACAAATATAAATATTCAGATGAGCACTCTTGTGTCTCCCTGACAGCCCTTTCTTCCCAAGAAGCCTTCATCTTTGCTGAAATCTGTTTAGGAGTCTCAGCATATCCAGTAATCTCTGCTGGGCCCAGCTGTATACTTCAAATGTAACACTTTAAAGGGCTTACTCAAAGACACAGACATTCATCCTCAGCATCTCTGACCTGGGAAAGCCCTAGACTGGAAATGCAAAATTGTGATGAAATTAGCCAGCCAGAGCCTAGGGCAGAGTGGGCCAGATCTGAGATGTTTCACTGGATTATCACTATAAGCAAAGGACCTGTATGGGGGTGTGAGGGAAAGAGAAAAGAATACAAAGATTGTGGCTATAAAAGCAGCCCATAAATAGCCACCTAGGGACAACGTTAAAAAAAAGTCACTCAAAATTGTGGGAAAACTGTACTCCTGGAAAGGACAACAGGGAATGGGAAGAACCATCTGAGGACTACTTCCATCGGGGGGGACGGAAGGGGGGTTTAAAATGTCCATGGAAGCAATATCCTGATATAGGAAACAAGAGTTTGTTAGCTGCATTTCTATTAGAATGTCTCTCTAATGACTGACTTATTGAAGTTGCATTGCTAGTGCCTTTGGATCAGACAGCTTATCTCACCCTATTGCTTACCAGGTGCTGTAATTGTAACAGCAGCAGGGGAATTTAAAGCTCTCCCAGTGCAAAGCAAGTAGAAGCACCACCATGGTCCACCCCAAAATAACCTTGGTCTGAGCCAAACTCAAAATTTACTCATAGAACACTATGCAGCCAAGAGGCAAAGGGATAGAAGAATCAGCGAGGCACTACAATCACACACGGATTACTCTTAGAGACACTCTAGCACCAAAAGGCCCTCTCTCATCCCACTGCCCACATAGATTGCCAAGGTTCTCAGCAAACCTATGGCAGAAAATGCAGGAAGGAAGAAAACTTTATTGTTGGTGGCAGAAAATATAGGGAGACTAAGGAGCAAAGTATTTCTGTAAACCCATCCTTCTTTAAGGGAGGCAAAGAGTTTACCTCTGCTCTCCTCTACCACAGAGATAGCAAAGTCACACCTTGCAGAATTTTTCTAGATTGTAAATCCCTACATATACCCATATGTCTCCACCCAATCCCAGAACACAGCCCCTCCCCCTGCACGGGAATTACATTACAGTTGAGCAGAATACCCTCAGAGGCCATCAAGAACAAGAAGCTAAGATCAGGACTAGAAACACAGAGTCCTCTTCCCAAGAATTCTGCCTATTCACGCCAGTAGTAATTATAGTAGACTGACACAACCACAATCAGGGCCGTCCCCCTCCCCCCCATGACTCTTTCCCCTGCCACTCCTGGCTGGTAAAGAAAAGAGACCACCAGGAAGGAATCCTGGCAACAGGCTGTTAACATCTCCTTTTGAAGGGACTCTGCCATCCACTCCCAAACATATAATAGTCCACCCAGAATTTAAAAACCATCCCGCAATTCCAGAGAACTTGGAAGCTACTGCTCAGCATCTAAGGGTATGTCTACACTACGAGGGTAATTCGATTTTACTTAAATCGAATATGTGGAATCGATATTGCAAAGTCGAACGTGTGTGTCCACACTAAGGACACACTAAGGACAGTAATTCGACTTTGTGAGTCCACACTAACGGGGCGAGCGTCGATATTGGAAGCGGTGCACTGTGGGCAGCTATCCCACAGTTCCCGCAGTCCCCGCTGCCCATCGGAATTCTGGGTCGAGCCGCCAATGCCTTCTGGGTAAAAAAAATTTGTCGTCATCCGTCTGTCACTAACGCCCTCCCTCCCTCCATGAAAGCGCCGGCGGGAAATCAGTTCGCGCACTTTTCTGGTCAGTGACAGCGCGGACGCCACAGCACTGCGATCATGGATCACGCTGCGACCATCGCTGCACTTGTGGCCGTTCTCAACACCTCGCAGCTTATCATACACCTTTCCCTGAGGCAGATGCAGAGAAATCGGGCGAGGAGGCTACGGCACCGCCGTGAGAGCCTGAAGTCGGAGAGTGGCACAGAGCTGTCAGAAACCACGAGCCCCAGCGCCCAGGACATCACGGTGGCAATGGGGCATGTGGATTTTGTTGAACGGCGATTCTGGGCCCGGGAAACAAGCACGGACTGGTGGGACCGTATAGTGCTTCAGGTCTGGGATGAATCCCAGTGGCTGCGAAACTTTCGCATGCGGAAGGGGACTTTCCTCGAACTTTGTGAGTTGCTGTCCCCTGCCCTGAAGCGCAAGGACACCCGCATGCGAGCAGCCCTCACTGTCCAGAAGCGAGTGGCCATAGCCCTCTGGAAGCTTGCAACGCCGGACAGCTACCGGTCAGTCGCGAACCACTTTGGTGTGGGCAAATCTACCGTGGGGGTTGTTGTCATGCAAGTAGCCAAGGCAATCGTGAAGGTACTGCTCCCAAAGGTAGTGACCCTGGGAAACGCGCAGGTCATCATAGATGGCTTTACCGCGATGGGATTCCCAAACTGCGGTGGGGCTATCGATGGGACTCACATCCCTATCCTGGGACCGGACCACCAGGCCAGCCAGTACATCAATAGAAAGGGCTACTTTTCAATGGTGCTGCAAGCACTGGTGGACCATCGGGGACGGTTTACAAACATCTACGTCGGATGGCCGGGCAAGGTTCATGACGCTCGCGTGTTCAGGAACTCTGGTCTGTTTAGACGGCTGCAGGAAGGTATTTACTTCCCAGACCACAAAATAACTCTTGGGGATGTGGAGATGCCTACAGTCATCCTCGGGGACCCAGCCTACCCGCTAATGCCCTGGCTCATGAAGCCCTATACTGGCGCCCTGGACACAGAAAAAGAACTGTTCAACTACCGGCTGAGCAAGTGCAGAATGGTAGTGGAGTGTGCTTTTGGCCGTCTCAAAGGGAGATGGAGAAGCTTACTGACTCGCTGTGATCTCAGTGAAACCAATATCCCCATCGTTATTGCAGCTTGCTGTGTGCTCCACAATCTGTGTGAGAGCAAGGGGGAGACCTTTATGGCGGGGTGGGAGGTTGAGGCAAATAGCCTGGCTGCTGATTACGTCCAGCCAGACAGCCGGGCCATTAGAAGATCCCAGCGGCACGCCCTGTGCATCCGGGAGGCTTTGAAAGCTAGGTTCCTGAGTGAGCAGGGCAACCAGTGACTTTTCAGTTTGTGGACAGAAAAGCTGAACCTGCCCCCGTTTCTTTACCCAGTTCATTTTGACTATCCTCTCCAGTTACATACCCCCTTCACCCCCTTCCCCTTCCCAAAAAATAAAATCATTTCGATTTTGTTAATGAACACCGTTGTCTGTGTTGCTGTTTTCGCGGGAATATTTTAAACCGGGGACGCAGACTGTGGCGGGGGGCGGGTTCAGTGTTCTGATGCAAATGATGCTTCTAAACTCCCGGAATGCCAGGCTCCGCACTGGTGGACTGGTTATTTCAATGGAGAACATGAAAAACACCTCCCAGACTGACCAGGGTAACCAGTGACTGCACTGTGTATGTGTCCTGATGCTGGACCTGACACCGCCTCTGTACCCTGCTAAAGGTCACTGTCCTGCCCAATTACCAAGCCCCTTCCCCCCCTCCAGACAGACTCTCCCTCAAAAGAACCTGACTGAAACAGTAATGGAGAGAAACAAACATTTTATTGCGAACCAGACATGAAACGTGGGGGGTGAAACTTGGACGGGGGCTTGTGTGAGGTGGGTAGGAAAGGACTTATGAAATTTTGGGGAATGTCAGCCTTCTAGTGCTAGAGCAGTCTGCAGGGGTTGACTGAAAGTTTTAACGGCCCTTGCCGCCCCTCCTTCTTTGGAGTTTGGGTGAGGGTGGTGTGGGACTTGGTGGCGGGTGAGGGCGGTTACAGATAGACTGCAGCGGGGCTCTGTCCTCCTGCCTCCGGTCTTGCAGAACATCCACAAGGCGCCGGAGCGTGTCCGTTTGCTCCCTCATTAGTCCAAGCAGCTTTTCAGTAGCCTGTTGGTCCTCCTGACGCCACCTCTCCTCCCGTTCCATGACTGCTCGGTGCATTTGTGACAAGTTCTCCCTCCACTGTGTCTGCTGGGCTGCCTGGGCTCGGGAGCATCCCATTAGTTCTGAGAACATGTCTTCACGCGTCTTCTTCTTCCTCCGCCTAATCTGCGCTAGCCTCTGGGAGTGTGCTGACAGGCTGGGTTGGGAGACAGTCGCAGATGTGTCTGTGTGAATTGTGAAAAGGGAGTGAATTCCTGAGACAGATAAATGAAATTGTATACAAAGAACCTAGTCTTTCTCTGTGAACAAGACCATGCACTGCACCTCTCACATGCGCACTCAGGACAAGGTCGAATTTTCGGCCGTCGCCTTCAGTGCCTGTGGACTTGCGGAGGTCTTGGAGTGATCTGAGAAGCGTGGCTGGAGACCTGAACTTCTGGAGCGGGCAATAATGGTAAGCCGCAGACTTGTGGCTGCTTAAAACTCCAGCAGTAGCACTGGCCTCCTTTCACATTGAAAGCAATGCCAGTCTCTGCTGCCAGCAATCAGGACAGCATCAACTCTGCCCCTGTCCCACCCCCTCGCGGCTGTCCCAGGGAAAGATCCCTGTATGCTGCCCCTCTCCCTCCACCGCGTGGCTGTAAAGCAGTCCCAATACTAACATTCCCCTCCCTAATTCAAAGCAGGGCGTCATGAGCGACATCACCCTTCTGAGGATCCCGGACACCCAGAGAGAACGCATGCTGCGGGAAAGCATGCAGAAACCGGGGCCGTATGCCGCCATGCTATGTCGGGCCATGATCCCGGAGTACTTGATTGTGGCGTGGAGGGGGCATGTCTGCTACCACGGAGGGCCCACTAAGATCGCCCTACCCCGGAACCTGATCAACAGGCTTGAGCTCTACCTCCACGAGACCTACGAGGAGTTCTCCTACGAGGATTTCTCGTCGATCCCCGGCCACATTGACCGGATTTTCGCGTAGGTGCACTGGGACTATGGAGTGGAGCGTCTTGGGCCTGGGAATCATGGAGTAACGGACATTGTGAAAATTTTTTAAAACACTTGGGACTAAATTGAGAAGAGCCTAAGACAGAGAAATCATGAAAACCCATTTGTTACCTTTGTAAATATTCCTGTTTTGTACCTGATTATTTTTTTACTAGTTTACAGAACTTTTATAAATGTACATTGTTAATAGTATAAATATTACCGTTCTGTTTTAAATAAATGTTTACATGTTTACAGCACTTACTGCTTGATCCTTCCCCTGATTCTGTGTCCGGGGTAAGGGATGGGGACGGTTGGTACGGGATCTCGGTAAGGGTGATGAAGAGCTCCTGGCTGTCGGGGAAATCAGCGGTGCCAGCGCTGTCGACTGCCTCGTCCTCCTCATCTCCTTCTTCATCTTCCCCGTCCGCTGTCATGTCCGACGAGGAACCGGCCGCGGACATGATCCCATCCTCGGAGTCCACGGTCAGGGGTGGGGTAGTGGTGGCGGCCGCTCCCAGGATGGAATGCAGTGCCTCGTAGAAACGGGATGTGTGGGGCTGGGATCCGGAGCGTCCGTTAGCCTCTTTGGTTTTTTGGTAGCCTTGTCTCAGCTCCTTGATTTTCACGCGGCACTGCGTTGCATCCCGGCTGTAGCCTCTCTCTGCCATGGCTTTGGAGATCTTCTCGTAGATCTTAGCATTCCTTCTTTTGGAGCGCAGCTCTGAAAGCACGGACTCATCGCCCCACACTGCGATGAGATCCAAGACTTCCCGATCAGTCCATGCTGGGGCCCTCTTTCTATTAGATTGCACGGCCATCTCTGCTGGAGAGCTCTGCATAGTTGCCACTGCTGCTGAGCTCCCCTCGATGTCCAAAGAGGAACTGAGATTCAAACTGCCCAGACAGGAAAATGAAAATGAATTCAAATTTTCCCGGGGGTGTGGCTGGTCAGAGCATCCGAGCTCTGACTGCAGTCCAGAGCGTCAACAGAGTGGTGCACTGTGGGATAGCTCCCGGAGCTATTACCGTCGATTTCCATCCACACCTAGCCTAATTCGATATGGCCATGTCGAATTTAGCGCTAATCCTCTCGTTGGGGAGGATTACAGAAATCGATTTAAAGAGAGCTTTATGTCGAACTAAATGGCTTCCTGGTGTGGACGGGTGCAGGGTTAATTCGATATAACGGCGCTAAAGTCGACATAAAAGCCTAGTGTAGACCAGGCCTAAGCTTCCTTTTCCAAGCAGACTAAGAGAGAGCTGGCAAAAAGGCATCTCCAACTCCACTTGTTATCTGTCAGAATCATGGATCCCTCTAAGTGAGGCGTGAGGGCAGGGAGTATAATACTGAGACAGCATTTGTTGCTCTGGTGGATTACCTTCTCCGGTCCATACCCATTCTACTGGACTTGTCTGAGACATTTGATACTGATAAATACACCTGTCTTGCCTCTAAGAGCTGAAGGAATGAACAGAAACGCTTTGAATTGGCTTAGATCCCTCCTCTCAGAACAAAGCCAGAGGATCACTATGGGTAACTGTTCCTCTACCTCCTAATCCCTCACCTGTAAACCCAAACTCAGTTCCTCTCCCATATTGTTCAGCATCTATGAGTAAACACTGGGAGCATTGGCAAGATAACACAGACTGAAATGCAGGCAACACCCAACTCCACAGTTCCTTTACACCAAGCATAAAGAGCACTATCTACCAGCATTCTGAATACCTAACTGAAATTACCTTCTGGATGAAAATCAGATAGCAAAAACTGAACCCAGAAAGACTTGGGTGATGCTGGTAGGAAGACAGAACTGCTCTGTAGAACTAGTTTTCTTTATAACATCCCCACTTTCAAGAATATCCACTCATGTTTTTATGTTGGTCCTCGGCCTCGCAGCTCTTATAGTGCTGGTAGGAAAAAACCACCACCCTCTACCTCCAGCTGGCCAGAAAATCATGCCCCATCCTATCAGCCCCAGCCTGTATTGATCCTCCACTTTCAGGACTAAATGCAAAACCCAATTATTCATCTTAGTTTTCCCTCAGTTTCATCTGACATACACACACACACAAAACTCTTTCCCTTCTCACCCATATACAAATCAAGCCTTTTCTCCTACCAGCGGAGAAGGAAGAGAAAGATTATAATTATTTCTTTTTAAAATAGTTTGGAGATATTCAGATAGTATTGCAATGAGGACCGTGTAAGTACACAGATAGATTAGACAGAGATGGGGAAGTAAAAAAGAAGAATGCAGCCCAAACTAGAAAAGCTAAACATCTGAACATTTATCTGCCTCACCCCTCAGAGACTATGAAAGGTGATTGAAAAAAATTGAGTGTGACAATTATTTAGATTGTAGTAGTGCCTATTATGTGCTTTCCAAACATGAAGACACAGTCCCTGCTCCAAAACAACATACTTTACTCACCTGAAGTATCTATCACAATACCACCTGCCTCTCTAATAATGACAGTAGCTGCTGCCAAGTCCCAGCAATGTAAACCAAACTGGTAATATGCATCTGCAGCACCCGATGCTAGATGGCACAGAGCCAAGGTAGAACTTCCGATTACACGGATCCTAGAAGCAGAGAGGTATAAAAGAATGAAAGGGGGAAAACTGCTTTTATTTCAACCCAGGTATTTATTAACAGGGTACAATATGCATCACATTTGATTTAAGTAGAATAACATTCTGCTTGGAATTTCAGAAAGTTGAGAATGTTGATGATTTTTAACATAATAAAATTTTTTCTTAAAAACCTTACCCGTGTACTTGGGCTTTGAGTAAGCGCTCCATGTTACCGAGGAACAATTTCAAAGTCTCAGGGTCACGTTTTGGACCAATTTCTGTTAAGATCAAGGCCTTCGACTTATCTGCAATGTAGACAGTTGTTTCTATTAACTCAACAACCTTTCAAAGTAGGTCTTGGCAATTTCTTCACATTAAATATGAAGGGGCTTTTCACAGCAAAACCATTTCTCATGCACACAAAAATTGTTCTTCTTTTCATATTCTTTCTCAGGATGAGAAACTGCTTTTGTCTAAATGACTGTAACAAGACTAAATTGCTCATACAGTTGGGTTATCTAAAAATACTTGTTTGGTAAAAGAAGGGAAGGAAGAATAAGAACAAAACTGGTTTCTATGAGTTTCCTTTGTTCCCATGGAATTTTTCCTTCATTGACCAGTCAGCCTTTGGTGACCTCACAAACTTTTAGCAGTCAGCTAAAAATAATTGACATAGGATCTATGCATTCCACTGTAAATGAATTGTATTTTAAAGCAGAATGCTTCCTGAACAGGGAACTTTGATCTCTTGGATTATACCATTCATTTTAATTAGACAAAGCTAGGTGTATGATAAGTAAAGATCAATTAAAAATATCCACCAAAACCTCTATTTATCTTGCAAAAACTACCCCCTTTTATGTGTAGACATTGGAAAGACTACAAAAGTCACAAACGTCCAAGTATCAATATATTTACCAGCTATTCTATATTTAAAAAGTCAGTAGGTCTAATTCTGAACTAATTTTTACGGCATTAGTTTTTCCTTTTGTATTGTGTTCAATTCAGTAACTTCTGATTTACAGCAGTATAGGGGCCTAATCAAAGCCAAGGACTCTTAAAGCCAAAGGAAAGATTCACATACAGTTCAATGGGTATTAGATTCCTGATGAATAAACAATCACTTCCTAATACTTAGTCGAAGTTATGCTAATTTAGGAATTGGATTTAAAGACTGAAACGCTTTAAGGAGGGTTTGGGCTTAAGGCATAGGGAGGAATTGAACTTAGGGAAGAGACCATCTAGTGAAAAGACACAAGGTGGCTTCAGGAATTCAAACTACAGGAGACAGCTGACCAGAAGACAAGTTCTCCACCCTGATGAGGGGAAGAGAAACAGGGAGGGTTGGTAGAAGACAGATGACAGTGACCTGGGTAAATGTGCTAGGAAAAGAGACAAGGGACCAACATTTTTGACTACTGAAGGGGGCAGAGTGGAGACCAAAAAAAAAACCTCACGCCATTTATGGTATCAACACACTTAAGGTCAGGCCTGGCTTTAAACTGTGACAACGTTTGTCAAAGGGAATTTTATATCTTCGGGATGTTCCTTCATTACGATTATTTAAATCTGTGCGTGGTGGATATCCCAGACCACAGCTCTGTTTTCTTACTGTGACATAATCTTTGCAAAATTCTGTCATCACCACAATGTGATTTTCTTTAGTTCTGAATTGTTAAATGCAGAACATATCTAGCATTAATCTAATTTTATATTGTACATCAACATTTTCTATACAAAATACATTTCCTGAAACAAAAGCATGAGGTAACATATAAGTCTAAAAGCCACAAATTCCAGATGCCAGCACGAGGAGAAACATCTTGTACTCCAGAGGTGATTCATTCTATTGAAGTCAAAATCCTTATTAGACAAGAACAACCGTAAATGGGCTACATTTAAACACCATAAAAATCAATAAAAATATTCTCCATCTTCCCTGTTCAAAATACCCCACACAAATGAGTACATCTCAAAAGAGAAAAAATTATAAAGCATCTGACCCTGCACTTATGTTCTGGACTCCCACATTAGCAGAAAGTCCACAGGGAATTGGGACAAAGTGGTGCTGTCTCCCACAGCCCTTGCTCAGCTGAAGGCCCAGGACCATTGAGACATAAAAGTGAATGGGGCCAGTTTATGAAGGATGTAGGGCAGTTAGGAGATGCCCTGATTCCATAAGCCTCCCAGGCATACTCTGCCAAGGGGATTCTTGTGGAACATGGGCTGTATTTTAAAACTTCCCTCCCCTGACAGAACACCTTTGGAAGGGTGGCTAAGGTAGGACCATGGACACCTATTCTGGGTAAATGTCCTCCCTCAGGCACAGCTGCTCCTGTGGGGGAGAAGTGTACCATTTGTATGCTCTTTCTCCAGATAAATAAACCTGGCCCACTAAAGACTGGTCCAAGCCACAAAGTCTGGATCTGGATCCAAATTTTTCCAACTATCAGGGAAGTTCTCGTCATCCAGGGTTGGTCTGGACCCGTATCTAATCTGTACATTAAATTGCTTTAATTTACTATGATTTCAGTCTGCACCAAACCATTTTTCTACTGTAATTTTATCATTTCTGGGGTACAAAGATACAGCTCTGTAACATCTGCTTGCTTCTGTCTGCTAATTATGCTGTCTTATCTTCTGCATTGGATTTGTTAAAAGAAAGCTTCTTGTTGTTATGTGCATTTGATTGGACTTAACTATTATAACTAGGCAAATGCAGAATCACTTTATTAGGTTTATAGTAATAAATCCCCATACAGTATGGACTAAGTGTTCTAACTAACTGTATGATTAAACAGACCTCTCACACACATCACAGCAAATTGTTTTTAAAGTAGTATAATGTATGCATCCATTAATTCCATTTACTACTGGCATATGTGTTTACAAACAAGATGCAGTATATGGCACCATTAAGTCATCTGCAAATAAGTGAATGACAGATGCCATAATAATGTGGGCCTGATTCACCATTCCAGCTGCACTTTGTATCCCGGAGTTACACCAGTGTACAGAAGGCATGGTATAGTGGTGAATTTCATCCTATTTCTTTATCTTAAAGGAGTGGTTTTGGATCAATACTAATCAATTCGTGTGGGAATTGCAAAATATTTTAGGACCATTTAATACTAATTCACATAAAGCGGAATATTTTAAACAGAAATTTGGGAACATCCTTATGTTTCCAGGAAAGACACAGTTATAATGCAGGAAAGATACTTTAAATCAGGATAATAATTTCCATTCAGGATTAGCATCAACTCTGAAATTCAACATATTTCTTTTAGAGTTCTAACAAAAATCTAGACCAACCTGTCTCTTTTGACACCTGAAGCCTTTTTTCATTACAAAATGCCCCTTGACCTCTTCTACCAGTGTATAATCGTTCTTCAGTGCAATGGTAAATTACACCAAATTCAAGCTTTAAGATTTTGAAAAGGAAAGAAATGAATGCAACTCAAATTACTCATCACAAGTATAAACAACTACTAATGGCAGAAAGATCAAAATTATTTTAATTAGCTATGTAACCAAAGATTATGCTGCTGCTAATAAATAATTGTACTGTTAAACTGAAGTTTTAGATACATAACATATAAAATTCAGTTTAGAGAGAGAGATATTGATTCTATCTATTCACAGCTCATTTTTACGCACACTATTAGAATGATATAAAAAGTTACTCTGAAATTCAATTCAAGGAGTTATTGAGAATATGTAAATCCCCCAGGGCCAGATTCTGAATACTTTACTCCCATTGGTGAGCAGTCACTCACATGAATAGGCCCATTGACTTCACTGGGGCTATTATTGCCAACCTCAAGCATCTCAAATTCATGACTCAGGCCTCCAAAACACATGAGATTGGCTTACAAATCAGGCAATTAAAAAAAAAATACATAGTTTGCATGTCATAATACATTTCACTTGCCTTCTATCTTTTGAGCCCTTGAGGTGCACTCAAGTCATCTTTGAGTTTTTCTCTGCAATAATGAAAGCTAGAAGCTAACTGGTCTTTTAAATGAACACTGAGATTCTCGTGAAACACCTGACTCCAGGAGCTGGGGCTTGAAGAAAAACACCGAATATCACGAGACTCATGATAAAATTATGAGAATTGGCAACACTGAACTATTTGTGTGAGCACCTGCTTACAAATGGGAATAAGGGGTTCACAATTGGAGCCTTAATAATCCAGGCCCAAAGTACACCTCTACCCCGATATAACGCTGTCCTCGGGAGCCAAAAAATCTTACCACGTTATAGGTGAAACCGCGTTATATTGAACTTGCTTTGATCCGCCGGAGCGCGCAGCCCCCCCCCCCCCCGAGCACTGCTTTACTGCGTTATATACGAATTCGTGTTATATCGGGTCAAGTTATATCGGGGTAGAGGTGTACCTAATATTTTGTACAACTATAGTACCTTCCATCAGAAGATCTTAAAACACTTTACAGACATTAATGAATCAATCCTCACATCATTACTATGAGATAAAATATTATCTACATTTTACTCATAGGGAAACAGACATAGAGAAGTTAAGTGACTTGCCCAAGGTCACAAAATAAGTTTGTAGAAGAGCCAGTAATAGGACTCAGATCTTCTAGACTCCCAGTCCCTTGCTGCAACCATGACCCATGCTACTTGAGAGACCACCTCTTACCCAATAGTCCTCAAAGATAGCTCAGAGGGAATTAATATTCCTTAATATTCATCCTGAGGTCCCATCTAAACCAACCTGGAGTCAGACTCTTCTTGGTTCAGGGTCCCTATGTACGGAACTCCAGGTCTGAAGATATCCACAAGAATCTCTCTTTAGCAGTATTCAGGGCTTGATGCTAGATCTTTCTATTCAGGTCAGTTCATCTATGCCCATTTTGGCTTCTTTATTGAGTTATTATTTTTACTTTTGCCTGGTTTTTTTTACTACAATGGATGGTAAAATTTAATATTATTGTTTATTTTTGTTTTAGCAGCATCTAAAGCCTGATGGGTGCTATAGAAAATAAATAAACACTAAAGAAAGCTGTTTTGTAATTATATGCAATATTTGAAAACATTTGGGAAGGAATAATCTTTGGAATGGCACTAAAGTGTGTCTTTACAGTTTCTATGTTTTTAAAGGCAAGCTGCAGTCCATCTAGATATACATATAACACTATACTGTCCAAACCAAAGGGAGTTGCTAGTCCTCATCACATCTGAAAATTAGGCCATCGCTGAATTTGCCTGATGCTGCATTCCTTGCACACATAAAATTCCTGTTGGCTTCAATGGGAGCTAACGGCATGTCAATGCATGTAAATGCAAAGGCCCAAGAAGCACATTTTACAATGGTGTGAATAACTACTTAAAAATAGCTACTTTTATTTTATAAATCAAACGGTACAACTACAGTAGCTGTACAAACCCCTCCAAAATGAATTGTGAGAACTAGGAAAATTTAAAAAGAACAGTATTCCCAAGCCCCAAGGCCAGGTTCTTTGTTTTTCTATGGACAGGCTCTTATGAAGGTACATGGAATAATATTAAATTTACTGCACCTCAAAAGCACACAAGGGAATCCAAACCATAACTTTGCACGTATCACAAAAAGTAATCCTACTATATACTGTACATCGAAAAAACTGTCTGAGAGTCATGGAGATTGCTAACAGCTTTAAAGCAATAGGAATCAGCATAATAACAAGAGAACAGTAGAAGATAAATATAGAGATGCTTAGTCACAATTTAAACATAACTTATTAATGCCTGATTTTATTAACTCTTGCATCAGTAGTCCCCTTTTAATAATATATAAATCCAATCAACATGGGACTACCAGCAGAAGTAACGGTTTGGGTATTATATTGGTGTAGTGTGACCAAACAAATTTCAATAGCATGGAAACAGCCTTTGTATTAATTTTTTAGTTCCCACATGGCTCTGAGGTTTATAGCTGGATCTCAGGTTACCAACTCACAGAACATATTTTATACCTCTTGGTTAACAGCAAATCCAATGCTAACTGCCACTGTTGGAAACCTGTGACAAATAAGAAAGAAAGTACTATTCATGAATAATCTCTCTAAACGTGCAAATTCCGCAACTCCCAGCAGCAACTGAACCCACAGAGAGCACTGTAATTTTACTCAACTAAAAACTTCATCTACATTATACCTTCCCTCTGTTTCCACCCAAGACTGTCCCTTGTACTTTGTCAATTCTTTTTTTTTTTTTAATCGAAACTAACATTTCAAAGAGTTAAAAAATAAATTAATGAAAACAAATAGGCTGTGTATATTAAACATATATTTGAAATTTTAATGATTTTCCCCCTTAGCGTAACTAAATAACCTAATCTTAAAATAATATTGTAATAAATAATTTATACTTAGAGTACATTTCATCCAATGATCTCAGAGCACTTTGCAGACAGTAATTAATTAGGGAGAAACTTTGTACCTGAGGCCAACAATAAATGAAACCTGTTATACTACCTTCTGTCTTGCCAAAGTAATAACTACATATTTCACTTGCTCCTTTTGACATAGGTATTAATTGTCCCAAAATTTAAGTATGAACTGACAAATTAATAATTTCTTAAAACTTGTAGAATAACAGCAGAAAGTATTACTGGAAGGCACAATTTCACTGTATTACCTGAAACATAAACCCCCAGAAGCTGGCCCCAATTAGCCACAGTGTAAGCACATATTATTCCATTGGAGTCAATGCACCAAGGCAGAATTAGGCCCATCATTTAAAAAATCTTGGCCTATTAGACCAACCATACGGAATTATTTTAAATTTAGTGGGACTGTCCAGGTGAAGTAAACAGTCATCGTTTAAAAAAAAAAAATCAAATATTTAAATTTTGAGTTAAAGTTGTAGTTTTGTAGGTGCACCAGGGGTGGGCAGGCGGGCTCAGCAAGGCAGTATCCAAGTGTGGAGGGGCTTAGCATGGGGGGGCTTAGGAGTGGGTTGAGAGGGGTAATCTGTGTCGGGCAATCTGGGTCCAGGCAGCTCAGAGTGGGATCCAGGTGCGGCGGGGATCTGGATGCACAGTGGCTTGTTGGGGGGTTCAAGGAGCAACTGTAATAGGACTCTGCAGGGGGGCCCAGGTGCAGCTGGTTGGGGCTTGGTGGGGTGGGGATCTGGGTGGGGATGGCTCGTCAGGGTGGTCCAGGTGCAGGGGGAGTGGAGCTCAGTGTATGTGTGGGTTCTGAGTGTGGGGGGTGAGGTTTGGCGGGAGGGTCTGAGTATGAGGGGGTCTGAATGCATGGGGGTTGGGCAGATGGGGGAGCAGCTCCCTGTACAGGGATCCCTCCCCCTGAAGCTGAGGAGTGATGGGTGCAGAAAGCGCGGCCGGGGGGGGGGGGCAGTTTGCAGAGCTTCCTGCAGCCGGGGGAGAAATCTGGGGGTGGGTGTGACCCGGCCCTGGATGCCATGCAGGGAAAGAGGAAGTCTTGTCCTCTCCAGCCCAGCCGGGACTAGCAGCTGAGCCCGGTGCAGGGTAGGAGCCACCAGCTGGGTCTTTCCCAGTCCCGCCCCTTGCCCCACAGTGATTTACCTCTCTGCCGTCTGCTCTGGGCACCCGAAACATACTGCTGGGGAGGGTCGCATGACCACTTGTGGCTTCCCTTTGCTTCCCCATCAGAAAGTCATTTTTCTGCGGGGAAGGAAAGAAATCTGCGGGCGATATAAATTCTGCACGTGCGCAGTGGCGCAGAATTCCCCCAGGAGTATCAAATACTATATCAGATATAAAAAGATACTGGAATGGATCCTGCAGGTCTTGTTCAGGCAAACCCCCTCAGTTTGTAAATATAATGCTGTAGGTAACTGTAAATTGAGCAAACTTAACACAGTGAAATATATTTTGGTAATGGGGGGAGAGAAGGATTGATGAGTAACTGAAGAGTTACTATATTTTAACAATTCTCCATGTTACTGAATTTACCTGTGCACAAAATTGCAGGTTCCATCAATGGGATCAATAATCCAGGTAGGATTGTCAGTGAGGACACATTTTGAACCAGCAGCAGTGGACTCTTCTCCAATAAACCTATATTTGACATGGAGTAAAGTATGCTCAGAAAACTCAACTCCACTTTCTTGGCTTTTGGGGACTATTGTTACATTTATGTATTTTTAAAGTTTAATTACCAAAAACAAAACAAAACAAAAAACCCACACAAAAAGCCCACCACCACCACCCACCAACTCACAGAAACTTTGTAAAGAAGTTCTGAAAAGATAGCTAGAAAATTGTTTTATACAGTATATTTAAAAAAATCCCCTTCTAGTTCCCCTTCTCTATATGTTAATGATACATACTTCAAAATCCTGTAATGCATGTAGAGATGGATCTGAAATGAAACCCCAACTTTGGCAGAAGTTTAGATCTGGATTGCAATTTGGCAGCTCAGGCCCACTTCTAGAAGGAACCTCCATTCCTTGCAGGTGAATTCACCAGGAAATAATATAGCCTTAGAAAACCTACAACCCCACTCCCACCACAATTTTTAATAGCAGAGTAGATCAGGAAGTAAAAAGTTCACAAAGCTGAACTTTCCTCTTCGGAAGACCCAGAGTAATTCAAGAGAATTAAAAAAAAATACACAATTTACAGAAGCACATTGAATTCTATGTTGAGCTGCTGATTTTCTGTCCTGTCATAATTTATTTCAATAGGTTTTCTGTTTTCCTTTTCCTAGGAATTGTACATCCTGTTCTGGCATCTGTCCTGTCTTCCTTAGTTATCTTTTCCATTCCCTAGATCAGCGGTTGTCAACCAGGGGGTACACGTATCCCTGGGGTACGCAAAGGTCTTCCAGGGGGTACATCAAAGCATCTAGATATTTGTAGAGCTCTGCACGGATATACATTTATATATGTGGATGCAGTTATCCGCAGATATAAATCGGTATCCGTGGAACTGTAGGGCTCTCCCGGGAACCGCAGTGGTGAAAGGAGCAGATCATGGGGCTGCTGCTCCCAGGAGCCAGCGTCCTGCACCGGCAGCTCTTCTGGCGCAGCTGTACCACCCCCAGTCCTGTCCTCCGGCATGGCTGTACAGACCCCAGACAGGAGACGCAGTCACGCAGACAGCTGCCTGGAAGGGACGGGGGCAAGGCTGGAGGCGGTACAGCCGCCTGGGAGGAGCTGCAGGGACAGGGCATGTTCAACTCTTGCCCGTTGGGCTCCCTGGGGATTGGAATGGTGTGATGGCAGAGCCACTCTGCCTTGTGGAGAGAAAGGGAGGGAACAGATTCATGGTACTCAAGAGACAAATGACTGTCTCTGACGTGAGTCCCTTCCAGTCTTCTTTGGCTGGGAAGATGGTGGCTACAATTCAGGCCCTTGTGGGCGGGCTAGAAAGAGGGCTGAAGCAGTGAAGTGAGTGATGGCAGGGAGAGAAAGGACCCTCCGGGCTTTGACAGGGAGGGACATAGGGAGAAGAGAGCATGGTGAGGGAGAAAAGGAAGGCAAAGAAACATATTTGCTGTATAAGACCAGTTATATGTAGTATTTACTGTCAAAACTTTTGTAAGGTAAAAAAGTTCCTTTGTAACTAAAAGTTTATTGGTACTATTGATTTTAAAAGGACTTTACACAGTAAAAATAAATGTACAGGAACAGAGCCAGATCTTGTGCCCATCTGAGTCAATGGCAAAGCTCAGTCGTTGACTTCACTGGTGCAAGGTCAGACTCATATAGTATGATCCTGTACCCAGGGAAGTAAATGGTAACAATCCCATTAACTTCCATGGGAGCAGGATCAAGCCCATAGTGCATAACATAGGACTTGTCTACACTACCGTGCGGGGTTGATCTAAGATACGCAACTTCAGTTACGTGAATAGCGTAGCTGAAGTTGACTTACTTAGATCTACTTACCGTGGTGTCTTCACTGCAGTAAATCGACAGCTGACACTCTCCCGTCGACTCTGCTTACGCTTCTCGTTCTGGTGGAGTACCGGAGTCGACGGGAGAGCCCTCAGCGGTCGATTTATCGTGTCTATACTAGTCGCGATAAATTGACCCCTGCTGGATCGATAGTTGCCCGCCGATCCAGTGGGTAGCGTAGACAAGCCCATAACATTGAAAGATACTGCTCTGTGGTAAGAATAAGGTCATTAATGGAGAACTACGTGATGAGTGCTTCATTCTGTGAAGAGTCCAAACCATGTTACTATGTAAAGATACATTAGAAAAAGAAACAGAGAGTCCTGTGGCACCTTTAAGACTATCAGATGTATTGTACTAACAGATGTATTGTAGTACTAACAATACATCTGTTAGTCTTAAAGGTGCCACAGGACTCTCTGTTGCTTTTTACAGATCCAGACTAACACGGCTACCCCTCTGATACTAGAAAAAGAAAGTTAAAAAAATCAGTCATCTAGAAAATACTCATTAAAATCCATGAAAGTACTGAAATAAAATACTGAAATTCTTTATTTTTAAAGAATCAGTAAAGCAAAAATGAAAACTGAGGCACAGATTAATGGGCTGACTCTCACCACTAACCAAGTAGGGAGTTGGACATCCAGCGTACAAATATATTTTTAACAAACTTTTCCACTATTTTTCCCGTTACCTCTGTGAAATCTTCTTGGTATTAGCTGATGCACTGAATGCATAATTCTGCCACATCACAAATATCTCTGATTGCAGTAACGACTCTGGTAAAGTTTGTCACTACCAGAATTTCCTTTTTAAACTAAGAAGTACCTGAACGAAAATAATTTAAGAAAAAGGGAATAAAAAAAATCTAAAAATCTTAGTTGGATGTCCCTGAGAGCCGGATTAGTGGAGAGACAGAGCACATAAACCTGTACTGAAGTCAATTTTAATTTTTTTCTTTGCTGTTTACCTTTGTACCTATCTACTGTATCTCGTATGTTGCAAGATGGACCTTTATTCAGACAGAAGACTATATTCTGTAAACTGAAATATGCATTTGGGTCAATATGAACCCTGGCCAAAACATAACAAACAGAAACTGAACTGTCTTAAAGAAAGCTTCGTTCACTTAGTTACCTTATGAAATCAGAAGCTAGGAAAAATGCATGGGCAAATTCAAAATGGAAGTTGACTGTAAAGGGTTAATAATCTCTCATCATGTTGGAGACTTCCATTTCTGGGTCTATGTTGACCTTGCACCTGCTATTCCTATTCTAAATAGCATGAATGCTTCTAACACTTTATGCTCATGTTACATGAACCTTGTATGCTACACTTCCTCTGGCAGATCATTAAGGAAAACTCACATATTACAGAACAGACAACAGCACAGCAAGCAGTATTTTAGATGGAATATTACTCAAATAATATATTTGTAAATCTCAGCACTGCCTAAGAATTGCAACCAAATATTACACACTTAAATTGTGTAGTACTGCCACAGTTTTGGATCACATAACAGATAGTTAGAAAGATGTACTTAATGTATAATTTTTTCAGTAATTTTTGCACTAAGTATGCTCTTTACACCAACATGACCAATGGGGTCAGGTTTTTCAAATATGTTCCATTTTAGCTGAATTCTTTGGAATCTGACACAAAGTCATCCCTATGTACTGCAAGGCCTATGTGTGACGTTCTATGCCTTGGGGGAGCACCCTATAACCCCCCATATTCCTCATCTGTATATTATTGTGATATTACATATAAAGCATGCCTTGTAAGGCATCAGGGGAAAGGTTACGATCTGCTGAAAGTAATTTCTCTATCCATACATGTATCATTAATGCATGTGAAGTTATGAGAATTGTGTTGTATGGTTGTCACTAAAACATACTGTAAGTTGGGGAATCAGCCAGATATTAGCTCCCCAGAGGCAACAGCAAGGAAAGTAACCAATGCCTGGGTTGGTAACCAGATATTAGCTCCCCAGAGGCAAGAGCAAGGAAAGTAACTAACACCCAATCCATCAACAGCCATTGTCCAGCAAGGGAGCTACAATGCAATGACTCACCTGCATGAGGCCACACCAGGGGAATTACTCAACCTTACTGGGAGACTCAGCAATGCCCCCAGACACGCCTGAACTTGTGTTTTCCAAGCACATGGAGTGAGGGTATAAAACAGACAGAGTGGACACATACTGGGCCTTTTCTCCTGCCCCCACCTATGCTGCAAGCGGCTAAGACACTGAGAAGAAGAAAAGACTCCAACAGAGGAGACTGGCCCAAGTTTAAGGAACAAACCTGTATATTAAGGACTGCAGTATCCAGTGGGGTGAGAAAAACTGCTTAATCGAGATATTGCCCAGTCTAATAGGGTTGAGAGTTTAGACTGCGTGCTTATATTTTATTTTATTTTGGTAACTAATTCTGACTTTTTTCCTATCACTTAATATCACTTAAAAATCTATATTTTATAGTCAATAAATTTGTTTAATTGTTTATCTTTACCAGTGAGTTGGTATGAAGTGTGGGGGCAAATCTGCTCAGGCTTGACAAAGGCTGATGTATGTCCACTTTCCATTGCTGAAGTGGTGAACCAATTAATAAATTAGATGGTATATTCCTGAGGTACAGTACTGGGAGCTGGGGCAGTGGGGGGGGGGGGGGGGGGTTGGGCTGGTGTCTGTGTGATTCATGAGTGCCTCTGGGAGCATTCATGCAATCTAGATGGGTGTGGGGCTCCACATGCTGTTGTGTTGAGTGATCACAGCGCCTGGAGGGGCTTGCTGCTGGTCACTAGCAAGGCATTGTGAGAGACAGCCCAGGCTGGAGAGAGTTAAGGGGGCACAGCGGTCCCATGGTCCCAGGCTGTACCCTGGGGGGATCCCGTCACACTATGTACCACTTAAAACCCACTTAAAGTACACATAGAGGGTTTATGTAGATTTAAGTGGCACACAGGCCTTGTATTGGCTCTCTTCAGAGGGCTGAATTTTACCTTCATAGGTTAAAGTCAAATGTGGAAATCAGTTGTAAAGTATATATTTTGTGTGCATCAAGCCAATCTTAAGACATGTTTTATAAAGCCTATTTCCAATGTGAATATGCTAAAATGTATCATTTTATGGTTTCTGTTTATAGGGGGTTACTCTCAGCTGGCCCCTAATAGCTCAAGGGGAATCACATATCTGAATTCATGTTTAAGACCTACCGTTAAATCCTGTGCAGTAATTTGTACAACATTTATTTTTCTATAGGCTAGGAGAGCTAAATGTGAATTAATGCTATACTCAGTCCAGATCCTGCGCGCACACACATACAAGTGAGTAAAACAAAATTATTCACATGAATGTTTGCAGAACTGGGGCCTTAGTGATAACTGAATGCAGCTTGATTCTAATGTCCATTTGATGAAATATTCTTGGCATTATATTACAGCGGAAAAAAAGATACAGAGTTGTGAACAAATTAAGCTTTCTTAGTGATAGTTTAATTTAGAGACCCTTACTGGGGACAAGAGTGTTATATTACTATATTTAATTAAATCCAAAAAGGTTGCAAAATATTAAAAACCTCAGATGATGACTCAAGTTAATCCAGAGCAATAATACTGTGTGGCCAATAATGAAAAATACAGTGGACCTTCTCAAAGTAATTGTCAACATGAAAGTGAATCTGGAACCGAAATTTTTAAAGAAAGGAAGCTTAATATTTTTTCCAATCTGCTTAAATTCAAGACATTTATTAATTCTTAACAATGGAGACCAGAACAGAATGATATCTAAATGGTATTAAAACTGAATTCAGTTATTAGGAGGCAAATTAATATGTACAGATGGTCATCTGACATCTAGGGACTGAATTTTATAAATTCCCTTTTAATGATGGTCACATACATGGCCTGTGCAGGGGACAGGGTCTTGGGCAGTTCTCTCTCTAGAGATACTTACCTGTGGGAGGGAAACTTCTCTTTCAGAGCAGAAATAATCACATTTTCCACAAAATTATCAGTTTCTGTCACAAGATCTGCTGCAGATGTTTTTGTAGACACTTGTTTTTCCTCTGTAAGAGCTTTCTTAATAATCTGAAAGAGGAGTACACACATCAGATTTATTTCTGACATTCCTTCCCTAGACACTAACAAAATATATTACATATGAGGTTCTCTGCGGACCCTAAAATCTATTGACACATCAGTATGCTACCATGCAAGAAAAGGGATCCAGGTCTGGGACTCAAAATCCATCTTGTTTGTTCAGGGGCGGAGAATACTACTGAGGCAATGAGGGTAGGACGCACCTTGCATCTCTCTCTATAACAACCCCTCTAACTAGTTTAGGAAAGTCATTGACAAGCTCTGGAAGGAAATGCAGCCACAAGTATAGTAAGAAGGATAGCAGCAGATGGACACATTAAGGATTGGAAATATTAGGAGAGAGACCCAGGGGAAAAAGGAGGATCCTCAGGGCTTAGGAGTTTTCTTTCCCCTTCCATCGGAAATACAATATTAAAAAAAATAAACTACGGGGACAAAACTCCCACCTCTTACATTTTAAAAAGTGACAAAAATGTAAACCATACTAGTTTGGCTCTGAAAAGAAGCCTTTTATATCAGATTTGGGCCAAGATTTTCAAACACGGGTGTCTAGTGTTAAGGTCCTAAATCCACATAGGTGGCCAGATTTTAAAAAATGCTCAGCACCCTGCGAAATTGGTGGTAGTTGCTGGGTGCTCAACACCTTTAAAAAACTGGCCACTTATTTAAGTACGTAAAGATGGACTTAGGAGTCTAACTCTGGGCTCTGGGTTTGTTTGTTTTTAAATCTTGGTGTTATGTTTTTAAAAAACTTGAAAGCCAAACTAAACTAAAGTAAATCTGATGCAAATTCACAAATGGGAAAATGATGAACGACAAACTTCTTCCTATTTTCACCTCTCTTTCTGTTTCTTACTTCATAAGGCAAGACATTATGAAACGAGGCATGATGGCAATGTTTCTCTTGGAGGAACAACTAACTTATTTTTTTAACCAAAGACAATTAGGAAGTACCTAAGAAAGGACATCAAAACAGTCTGTGATAGAAAAGACAAATTAATGTAATTTGTACATAACTATACAAAATAAAAAGGAACATCAAACCAATATTCCAAACACAACCTCCTCCTGAGGCATATATTTTTTTAAATCCTTCAACCGAAACTCTGGCACTAAACTATTTTTAAACCTACCTAAAGAAAAGCCATTTATGTTCAAATGGCAGTTTGTTCTACAGTACTGTGTATGGGACTGGAAACCAGGAAATTCCAAATTTCTATAACATTTCTACCACTTGTTTATCATGGGCAAAAATATTACATTTGAAGGGTTTCACTCTCTTAACTGTTATAGTGACCATCCTTACATAATCTGGACCATGACTTGCTGTGGGGCCCTAGGAAAGTCCCACTACCTCTCTGTCTCAGTTTCATCAGCTGTAAAATTAAAGTTATACACTTCTACCCTGATATAACACGACCTGATATAACATGAATTCGGCTATAACGCAGTAAAGCAGTGCTCCGGGGGGGCTGTACACTCTGGCGGATCAAAGCAAGTTCGATATAACGCGGTTTCACCTATAACGCGGTAAGATTTTTTGGCTCCCGAGGACAGCGTTATATTGGGGTAGAGGTGTACTTATTTCCCTAGCTCACAAAGGAGTTTAAAGATTAATTAATATTTTTACCTTTGAAGATGGTACACAAAAGTTTTTGTATTATTACATGGCAAAATGTTTACTGCAGAAAACTCCTTTATTTCCTTACGTACTGCCCTGTTTTCCTGGTGGTAATGAACCTCTTTAGCTAACTTAGTGCCTTGTGTGTGCACGATGTCAAGGCCCCAACCTTTTAAGAACTTTACACATGAGTAACTGTGCACATGTGAACGATTCCAAATTCAATGGGCTCACTCACATGTGTAAAGTTACCATTATGAGTAAGTATTTATAGGATTAGGGGCTAAATTACTACTCTCATGGTGTCCCCAAAAAGTCATAAGGCAGTCAAGTGAATTAAGAGTTCTCATTTGTATGACGTTATTAAATATTTATTTATTTTTCTTAACACAGGACTAGATTGAGCAAGGAGAAGAAAGTACATAAACTGGTCTGCACCAGGAGGCGTTCTGACTTAGAGACACACCGCTGAGTCTCAGTTCCTTTCCTGGTTTCTCCTTGCTCCTGGGATGTGCCAATAGTAAATTACTACCCCATCTGTACAGGCTCAAATGACTCTAGCCAGGGGTTGTGTGTGTGTGTATGGGGGTGTGGCCTAGGTTCTGCCAGTTTTCTGCCTATCCCCGTTCCTCTTATATGGACAACAGATCCAAGGTCTGTGTAAGCTGCATAAATTGCTAAAGAGAGGGGTTCTTACTCCATCTCACCCACTTGCACCTGAAATCCAAGTCAGAAACTAGGGGTAGGTCTACACTACGGGGTTAAGTCGACCTAAGTTACGCAACTCCAGCTACATGAATAACGTAGCGGGAGTCAACGTAGCATAGGTCGACTTATTGCGGTGTCTACACTGTGCTGCGTCGACAGGAGAAACTCTCGCATCCTCTTATGTTATGCTTCTCATTCCGGTGGAGTACCGGAGTCGAAGGGAGAGTGATCTGTGGTCAATTTAGCAGGTTTTCACTAGATCCGCTAAATCGACTCCCGGTGGATCGATCGCCGCAGCCTCAATCCACGGTAAGTGTAGACATACCCGAGCTCACCATGCTTACATTTTTTGCATTATAAACAGAACAGCATTTGTTCTTCATAAAATTAAATTGATCAAGTATCTCATATTGGGCCAAATTCTTTATGCTGAAGAGTACCTTGCACTAGTCCACTGAAGTCAGTGGGACTACTTGTGGAGTAAAGTACTTCAAACCTGGGTAAAAGTATTAGAATCTGGCCAAATGATGAAAAAAATACAGAGTATGTACAACAGAATCCCATTAGGTTTGACTCTTTACAGAACACTTGATTTAAATACATTTTAAATGGCCGAATATAATCACCTAATGCATTTGGCTAGTCTTCCAAATTAGGTGTGGAGTCACGTAAAAGTCCTTCAAGATGATAAGAGCTATGACAGTTAAGTGAAATCTATTCACGGACCACAAAATGTGTAAATGACATAAAAATAGCTCATCCCCCGCCCCCCGCCCCCAGTATTGTGTAATGAAACTGGCAACCAAGCTGAGCAATTATATGTTGGCTATACAAGTATTACACTAATCATCCTCATTAGATTACAGTTTGTCCATATTGTAACTGTTTCTTTTTATAGGGAACGACAGATAATACCTAGTTGCTGATCTAACAGCCCAGTAATTTAGAGAAGTATATATCAACACTTCATTGCACCACTAAGAGGTAGATTGCGCCTGGCCCTTGTGTGATTGCACAAAGGGCAGAGAGAAGTGAAGATACAAGGTGCCCATGCTTAAGAGTCTGACATAATCATGGTGTTAGTATAGGGGATGACAGAGACTATTCCCATCTAGCATCTCTGGGAGTTCAAGCCACCTTAAAGGGAATGGAGAGGCGGCAGGGCCATGGCTTCATCTCCCGCCATACCACACAGTAGAGCAATAGGCTGTGGAGGGGGGATCATGCTATAACCTCCTAAGAGATGGTACACGGTATGCACTTGCCTGGCACACCTGAGTTTCAGGAAGGATTGTGCCTCCCCGCAGCATGGCTCTGGAATGCCCCTCAAAATGGGCTGTGCCTTAATGGCACAATCAAACCCTAAATACTGAATGCTTGGACAAGTGTCATTCCCCAAAATAAAATTATTCTTTAAAATCAGCCTGCCTATGTTTCACTACAAGATACCCTAAAAATGTCACAGAAAGACAAAACAGATAAGGTGAAATCCTGGCCCGACTGAAGTCAATGGGGGTTTTGCCATTGACTTCACTAGGGCCAGGATTTCACACCTAATTCTGTCTGGCAGCTTTCTCCTTGTACAGTTTAAAAACATATGGAAACATTAACATACTAGACATATACATTGCCTAATTTTTCTCTCAGGACCTCACGTCTGGGGGTGGTCTACACTACAAACTTAGGTCAGCTTAACCACATTGCTCAGGGTTGTGAAAACTTTCACAGTCTGTGCAATGTAATTAAGCCAACCTAAGCCCCAGTGTAGACACTGCTAGGTCAAGCTAGTAACCTCTTGGAGAGGTGGATTATCTACAGTGACAGAAGAACCCATCCATTGCTATAGTAAGTGTCCACACTACTGTGGCGCAGCTGCAGCAATGCAGAAATGCTACAGTGGCACAGCTAGTGTCAACATACCCCTGGTTTTACACTGGTGTAACTCTATTGACTTCACTGACGTTTCTCCCAATTTACACAGCGTAAATGAAAATAGATCAGATCCATATTGTCCAGTACTGTTGGAATAGCAAACGTATGAGATGAGGCCAGCCACATCTGTGTCATTATTAATTAGCTGCTTCCGAGCCTGTGGGGGTGGGACTAAGGAGGGCCATGCCCATGTGACAGTTTAATGGACATCTGGGCCTTATGAGATTCATATGGGAGTTGGAACCACTATGAGTGGGAAGGTTCCTGTGGAAGGCCCTAAACTTTAGTCTGCAGGAGGCCAAATACTCTAGGGGCCCCAGTGCTCTATACCAGAGCAGGGAAGGACACAAGGAACAGAGCCCAGGAGGGTCTGAGAATAGTACTCCGGGGGAATCAGACTGGGGTCTGAATGCTCGATCCCAGAGCCAGAAAGACTCGCACAGCAAGCCCACAAAAGGATTGGGAACAGGGCCCAGAGAGTGGGCTAAAGAGAAGCCCTTGAAGGGCAGAAGAACCTTTTTGTTTGTTGGGACTTTTTCAGTTGGACTTTCCTTACCCTGGAAGGGGATAAGTTTTGTTTGTTATTTGGTTGGAGGGCTAAGCCACCTCTCCAGAACAAACCGGTGTCTGGCAAGCCAAGAAAATCTGCCCTGGGGAGGGAAACTGAGGCAGGGGACTTCCTGCTCTGCCATGCTTGGCCAGCAGGGAATGCTACAGTGCAGCTACAACCCCACAACAGGTCCTAATCCCACTTACTTAACTTATGCAAAAAGTCACCCCAAAGTTAGTAGGTTTACTTACATGAATAAAGTAAGCAGGATTTGGTAATAGAGTACTCAACAGAAGAAGGATGTGAGAAAGTCCATGGTAAATCCACAGGTATAGTGAATGGGGAGGGATTTCAATACAGGCCAGTTATGCACAGAAAATGGCCCAAATTAAAATACTGAATCCATGCTCCCATGCCCCTCCAAAGTAAATGGATCCAAACTGCACGGCACAGACCCACATATGTAATATACGTAAGCAGAGCTAAACAATGGGTTCAAGCATGAGATCCACGACTTGGAGCAGGTACATTCCCAGATCAGACAGCATCACTATGACACATATTCATGTAACTATTTCTTTATCAGCCTTCTGACTTTTGGAGACACTAGTCCAAAAGTATTAAAAAAATTCCCATTGGTGGATATGTTTGTGGGCTCCTCTGCTAAACATGGATGAACATCTTTGAGAAGAAGAATACCATGTCCTTTTAAAAAACAATTCCATGGAGACTGATGAATTTCCTCTTTCAATTCTCATTCTTAAGGTTTTTACCAAAACAAACAAACAACCCCCCCCCCCCCAAAAAAACAAAAAAACAAACAGGAAGCCCCAGAAGATGTAGTTCTGATTAACTTCTAGCAGAAATCCATAATCTGGATTTCAGTACTCCCCTCCAAGAGATGCCTTTGGTAGGACAAATACCACTTCCAAAATGTCCACCAACTTCTCACAGTTGCTTTGGCTGACTCCCGAAATAGGAGTGAAAGCATGACCTGGAGAAGTTCTTCCACTGGGCGGTGATCCATGTTGACAACTCTGGCTGCTAGGAGCATGTGGACCCAAATGGCTCTGCTGGATGCATTGGCTCAAACCACTTCTGGTCAAGTCCCAAGGGATGAACGGACATGTTCTCTCACAATACATCAGGGATCGGCAACCTTTGGCATGCGGCCCGCCAGGGCGGGAAGCGGCGGCCAGCACATCCCTCGGCCCGTGCCGCTTCCCGCAGCCCCCACTGGCCTGGGACGGCAAACTGTGGGCAGTGGGAGCCGCGATCGGCCGAACCTGCAGACACGGCAGGTAAACAAACCGGCCCGGCCCGCCAAAGGTTGCCGATTCCTGCAATACACTATGAATCAAGCCCTAAAGCAGCCATGGCTACCAAAGGTGCTAAGAACCCTGAGTTATGCCCAAGAAACAGCAAGGTCTGATCTGGGTCTTCATACTGAGAGTGTACCTGCTGGCATGTACATGAGATTCAAACAGCAATGGAGTGTGGATGCTCAAGCATGAGCTTAGAAAGAATAGGTCTGCAAGTGTGGATCCCACAGACCTGGGTTTACTATCCAGTGTAGAGATACCCTAACTCTCAGATTGAGACAGATATTGACCTAAGGCCACTAAAAAAGATTTGTTGCTATACCCGCTCTCCCCCATGGAGATGGTGATACTTGCAAAAGAGTTCTTTTGTTATGATATCCTAAATCACTTTCCCGTGCAGAGTAAGTTATAATAGCAAAAGGACTTTTTGGCTGGTACAATTATATCTACATTATAGCTTTTTCTGGCATGGCTGTTTTGGTTAGGGGTGTGATTTTTTTCACACTTCTAACCGGCACAGCTATGCTGGCAAAACTTTTAAATGTTGACAATTCTTTATTTACACCACTGTAAATCTGCAGTGACTTTTATTTTATCTGCCCCATTGTGAGAAGACTGGCAAAGCAAGAAGATAATAGCAGGCAAGAAACCAGTCATTCAGCTAAATATCTTTGACACACTCACTTTCTCAGAGAGAAACCCTACCTTTTATAAAATGGAAATATAACATATTTTGGATATATGCATCATGATATGAAGTATCCTCAATTCCCCATAATCCAGCATTGTTATTACTGTATATACTAATAATATTACAGTAATACATGTATTATTACAGTAATACATGTGATAATCCAGCATTGTTATCACTGTATATACTAATAATATTACAGTAATACATGTGAAGATGCTTTTTTCTTACTAGGAAAGAAAATACATTAAAACATGTTTGCTTTGGCAAATCATTCTAATCTTATTTTTAAATATAAACAATGCTCCCAGTCACAAAATATGTCTGCTTCTGGAGTGTGTATTGGAGCCTTTTCCTTCATACTGTTAATTAGAGAATTAAAACAAAACAAAACACCCCAAACCACCCCTTAACCATAGACCATTATTTTAGATACATTCTGAAATTATTTTGAAATGTGAAAAAACACTCCGATGGTGGAATTTCCCTTAAATATCCTACTAAGACGGTATATCATTACTGCATTCTCATTTTTCCTCAAGAAGACTGTATGATGATGCCATTCATCTAAAAGATCATTATTGGTGGCTTGAATATTTGCAGTTCAGGCTGCTAAAGCCTGCAAACAAACAAACAAAATGATAGACTAAAGGCCGCATTGCTACATGTTTGCTAAAAATATCACCTATGCTCAGTTTATGTGAAAGCAAAATCCCTCATTGATATTCAACACGATGCTGAAAACTCAGCCTATGTGCAGCATGCAATGGCAGGTCTCTACCTCAACAAAAACATCTAGAGCCAATATGCTTTACAATAAGCTTTTCCAGCTACTTAGTGTAATTGTTTAAAACGTTCCTGCGGGTGTTTAAAATATATACACTACAGTATGTCATTTATAAGTTGGTGACGAAGGGACGTTTCTGTGACCTGGATCGATGTAAGGCAGCTTTGTCACTGCATTTGACCCGACCCAGTTGGCTCTCTTACCGCCTCTTACACTAATCCCCTCCCCTTCAGAGATTTTTCCTGCAACTCTTTCCCCCCGGCCTGTTCCTCCGCCCGCCCTCGTTAACACCGCAGGCACCAACAGGTTAGAGTGCTGAGTGCACAGGCGCGTAGCCTGCAGCACACAGCAGGGCACGGTCCCGACCACTCCAGCAGCATTATTAACCCTTGCAAGCAAGATTTCCTCACCCCGGAAAGGGGCGTTTATTTGGGGGACCGTAGTAGGGAGAGAGCCGCTGAAAACTCTCTGCGGACTGCAGCACACGTCGTGATGATCTTGCAAGTGCGGACCCTCCATTCCCTGGAAGGGGGAAGTGACTGACCCGGCAGGGGCAGGGGCAGGGGCAGCCGGAGGGGGAGGAAAGGAATGGCTCTCGCTTGCCCCTACACATGCTATCCCCAAGCTGTGACCGGGGAAAGGGAGAAGACCGAGGCAAGTACAAAAGTATCAGTGTGGGCTCTTGCTGCTGCTAACCTGCCCAGCCCGCCGCGCCAGCTGCACCGCCGCCTCCATACACTCCTTCCAGGGGTCCCCTCCGGCCGCAGCCCCCAGCCCCTCCTCTTCGCAGGGCTTCATCGCAGCTCCTCCTGCGCACCCCACGCGGCGGGCAGCTCCCCGGGCTCCCTGTCAGTCTCACTGCCAGGGAGCACAAGTGGGGGGCCGTGTTCCAGCTCCCCCCGAACCAATCAGACTTGCTCGGAAACTTCTCTGGCTTCTCCCCTGCCGCTGCTGTAGCTGGGGGGAGGCGAGCGGGGAGATTCCAGCTGCTGCAGGGTGTCTGTCGTGCTGCTGCCTTTCCCCTCTCTCCTCCACCCCCTTACCCCGCCTTTCCTGTTTCTCTCCTCCTCTCTCTTCTCTTCCCCCTTCCTTCTCTCCCTGGTGCACAGGGGCGGGGCTGCCCCGGTCACTCTCTCCCCCAGTACCGCCTCTCTGCAATGAATGGCAGCCTGGGCCTGCCTGCGGGAGGAAGGGAGGCAAGACAGCCAAGCGCCTGGCGCTGGTACTGGGCAGAGCAATGGGGGGGCTGCAGCTGCCGCTCGAAGCCTGCAGGCTGCTAATTTGAGCTTTAGGGGCTGCTGGGGAGGTAAGCAGCTCAATAGCGATGACTCAGTGATGTGAAGAACAGGATGTGGCGGAGAGCAAGTCATGGTGGTTACTTGCTTTGATCTGCCTCCTGGCCCATAAACCTTGCGAGCTGCACGTAATCGCTCCCCTTTGTGCAGGTTGAAGACAGGCTCGAACAGCAACACTCGCTCTTCTCGTTGCAGGGATGGGCATGCCAAGGATTAATATCCACTGAACCTACCGTAGTAGTGTATAACCTTGATGATCTGAACCCCTCGTTGATCTCCAGCTCCCTGTTAATTGAAATGGGGTCTCATATCCCCCAGTGTCTATTAATTATAGCAGTCTCCTTTTGGTCCTGCTCTTACCCATTAATTTCCCCCACCCCGTTGGTCTCTGGGCATACTGCAATACTTATCTGTTTCCCCAGGTTTTTGAGAAGGGTATGAGTTCCCGACTCACCTCCTGACAGGTGAGTTAAGAGTTTGCTATATTTGTAAGATAAAATTATTGTTTTTAAATGTTAACCCTCTAAGAACATTGCTGGATGGACATATAGTAGACATTCTAAATATATAAATACATGTCTTTCATAATAAATCCTCAGCAAATATGTTAGACTCAGTCATGTATTTAGTATAAAAATCTTATTAGATATACAGTTTGCTTTAGTAGGATTTCTACTATATTTTACATGCAAAGCTATTTAAAACAACCTTCCTGTGGTTTTACCAGGTCCCCAGATATTTGCTGCCCTAGACAAAGTGGAGAATGTATGTAATTTAGACAATCAACACTCCCTAAATATTTTGCTGCATTAGGCAGCTGTCTGTTCTGCCTATATGGTTTGACTATTGTGAAAGAGATACAGTATATAATCCTTAATGTGAAAGGGTAACACTTGCTAATAAATCAGAGATAAAGGACAGATACTGAGTAGTAGACAGCCATTATTTTAGTTGTTTAGAAAATGCTCATGTTTTAGGCTGTAATATAACATTAACTGCCCTATAGAAGAAAAGGGAATTATTCTGGGAAATTAGGAGATGTACAACATAGTCCACCGGAATTTCTCAATGACAAGAGGAACAGAACTCAAAACCTACTGGTCCAATAACGCAGGCCTCTACCACATAAACTAAAAGAAAATCTCTGTTAGCTAAAAACATGAGAGGGCCTATGACACACAGATGAGTAGTTCAGATACCAGCTAGTAGAGGGCAGTGGCACACACTAATACACACTCATAAACTAGCCAGTTCATTACAATATTTACATTGTCAAGCAAGAAGTTCAAATAATATATTCTGGAATTTTTTGCTTTAGACATCAAAATAAGGCCTTCCCAAATGACTTCTTTGGGAGGACTCAATAGCACAAGGAATTAGTAATGAGACATAGAGCCTTTGTCTCTAGTTATCAGTCCAGTCTAGCTGATTGTGAAAAATGAAAAGAGTTGGTAGTTCCAGACCACATCCTAGAAGAAAGGCGTTGGTAATCTCATCAAAGATGGCCAAAGGGTTGAATGAGCACAGAGAAGGAATCATACTAATATGTTTTTTTGGAAAAGGATTGTGGAAATTTTTATTGTCATTCTGTACCTGTTCTGTGGTTAAAGGGCTTCATTTTCCAGGATTGTCAATTTGACGACCTTTCAGAAACACTGATTTCAATTGGAATAGAAATGACTACAAAAATGCCTGAGTCGTGAGCATATTTGCATTTTAAAAACATATTTGTAAATCACTAATCTTAGGCCTGGTCTTTACTACAAAGTTAGGTCAGCTTAACTGCATTGCTCAGGGCTCTGAAAAATTGCACACTCTGGGCAATGTAATTAAGCTGACCTAAGCCCTGGTGTAGACACCACGAGGTCAATGGAAAAATTCTTCCATTGACCTAGCTGCCACCTCTTGGAGAGGTGGATTTACTAAAGTGACTTCCATCTCTGTGGTGTCTACACTACAGTGCTACAGTGGTGCAGCTGCAGCACTTCAGCTGCGCTGCTGAAGTGTTTCTGGTGTAGACATACCCTTAGTCTCCTTTTTTTAATCGGTGCCAATTCAGATATTTCTTGGGGGCAAGGGAGGGAATTCTGGTTCCTGCTGCCCTCCCATCAGGGACCCTATTCTGGTCCTCGCTCATCCCCCCCCACCCCTTTCTCCTTCTGGAAACCCACGTCTCCCTTGGCTGGGGAGTCTCCCATCTCATAGTGCATGAGCCGGTGCTGCCAGGAGTGGATCAGCAGAATCCCCAGTGCTCTGCCGTACCGGAACAGACTCCTCATGTGCTAGGCCACAATACCATGTGGCTCAGCTTTCCCTCCACCTGGATGGAGGGGTGACCAGGCCTAATTTGAGTGGCATTGCAACCCCATGTGAAACTGAATGTCTGAAGTTAAGCTCTTAAATCAGTACTTAGGTGGCTAAATA